CCGGGGTCCGGACCGCGGAGAGATCTACGCTCCTTAGCGCAGAGCCCACTGCCAAAGTGGTGCGGAGAGATGAAATATCACTCGGGACTTCCTGTGCGAGCTGGCGTCGGGCTCGCGCGCTCTGCCCTGTGGTATTTTTTTTCTCCCAGAATCAATCTATAAAAATCCACATCCATCGCCCACACTTGCGCAATCTCTCCACAGTCCATCTCCAAACTCCTCAAACCCATCTTCTCAAAATCGAATTTCCACAAGCGAGGGACCGTATTCCGATAATTCACTGTGGTCTTGCGCTCTTTCACCGGAGGAGGGACGGAAAAATCCACACGAACTCACCCTTGCCTCCCGAAGCCCCTCTCGTCTTGGCCAGCAGACCCAGACATTAGCATCTCGCTCCTGAACGCATTGCCAGCAATCGCGCGCAAAGAGGAGAATCTGGCAATGCCAGGACAGAGGAGAATTACCCTCCGATGGCGTTGGCTCTTGAAGTGCCGCATGATTATTGAGCAACTGACCAACAAAAAAACACCGGGTGGGGGGGGGGGTGATAGCGTCCCAGGGAAACTTATGACAGATTTTCCGGGATAAACGGCGACCTACCCTCAAGAAGAAGACAATCCTGGGAAATACAGGGCAGGTGGCAAACCTGCCCCAGACTTCAGTGGTGGCACTGCACAGGAAAAGGAACGCGCCTTGGGTGGAACCCAAGCAGCTCAATGGGTCTTCAGATTGGTCACGAAAATGTTTAATTTTTGTGGGTCAAAGTATCAGCTCTTAATTAAATCAAATTAATTCAAGGTAAAAAATACATTCGCGTTCGTCACTAGGTTTCCACTGGAATCGGTTGCCGATTTCTCGACTTTCGGAGGCGATAAACGGTTCTGAAAACGATCTTGATTTGAAGCTTTCGTGACTGCAGGAATCCATACTCTTGGGTTCTTTTGGTAAAGTCACGCTTGTGTTGTGCCCGAAACGTGATTTATTTTATTTTATACCGACGTGACTTTACCGAAAGAACCAAAGAGTATGGTTCTGAAAACGGTTCTGAAAACGGTTTGCCTGTTTACAGCGGTTCGTGTTTCACAACCTTAGTTTCTGGATAAGTAAGCAGACAATACATCTGCTTCACGTGCCTGCCCCTTTAAAGACGGCCTTTGGGAGTGCACCATTTCAGTCCGCATTGGTGCAGTGCAAGCAAAACTTGGGACCGGTTTCCACATGCGGTGTCTCATCAGGCGTGCGTGAACAGGCCCCAGATGTTATGGGCAAGTTCAAGTTCGCGTTGTTTAACGAGACCAGGATAGAGGAGGTCCCATTTATATTTTTATATATAGCACCTTTATCCAAGGCGCATTACAAGGGTTATGAGTGGTACAATGAGGGTAGCTAAAGGTTGATGCGGTGAATATGGATGGGGCGTGGGGAGGTTAGGTTAGTGGGTACGGGAATTACGGTGGGTACCTCGGGATGGGGGCAGTACCAGATGAAGCTAGTGCAGGGCCTGTAGCATATGTTATAAAGGGGCCCTAAATATAAAAATATTAAAGCATTTTTTTTTACTTGCATTGTAAAATAATTGTATTTTTTCATTTGCTATACAGCCAGATAATACGACAAATCCCTAACCTTAAACACCCAGTCGTTCATAAAAGTTGAAGACGGTATAGTACTATAGTAATAGAGCAAGTGCAGAATCACTGAACCGGAATGGATAGCTTGAAAGCATTTAGCGCGGGGGGCCCTTGAAAGTGCGGGGCCCGTAGCTACTACACGTGTAGCGTCTTGTGCTACTCGGATTATCCGGCACTGGATGGAGGAGGGAAGGATGGGCCAGGGAGAAGAGGCGAGGGTGTTGAGGGAGGAGCGGAAACTCGACAGGGAGGGCGCTCGTTGCTTGACGTGGAGAGGGAAGTTTGTTCCAGTGCAACGGGGCAAGTAGGGAAACGGTGGATTGTGCGCAAGGAGAGGGGGGGGATCGGTGAGGTGTAGAGATATTGAGAGCGGAGGTACGGTGGGGCGACCTGGGCCATGGCTCTGCCAATAGGGGGGCGGAGATTGCTGCTGTTTTTGTATCTTCGCGTGTGATCCCAATTGAGTAATTTGCGGTGTCATTTTCTCATTTACCCAATTCGGGCCCTCTCATTCGCGTCACCTGCATGGATTATTACGCCGACGGTAATAATCAGGGCGGCCGCTGGCTTCGAACCACTGCAACAAACGGCGAACGCGCGTCCACCACCCGCCCTCTGTTACGTCACGGGCCATTGTTCACGGCAAGAAAAATGACAACACAAAATACCGATTAATCGCGTGTCCTGGTGGAGAACAAAAACAACTTCTGGAGTGCGAGGGGGCCTCGGACACGGCTGCCAAGTCTGGCCGCGTGGGGTCGCCCCTGGCCCCCGCCAGCGCCGCGTGGAGCCACGAGCCACGGCCATCGTGGTGGAGTCGTGGAGGGGCGAGCGGTGGTGCAGCGGTTGGCGCGCTGCACTACCACCCGCGAAACCGAGTTCGATTCCCGCTCACGGCCAACACCAGTGGATGATGTTCTGAAGCGGTTCTGGGCCTCCTCTAGGTCGACTCGGCCTCAAATGATTAGCTGATGCGATGAGTACACATCGCCACTGGGGAAACAAAGGCGGCCGGGCGTGGTGCTGGCCATCCACCCCCCCCCCCCCGTGTGCCGTTCCGGCCTTCATAGGTGCTACTCGCTAACAGCACTTGCCCCAACAGTCTGTTAAGGCTATACGGGGGATCTTTTACGTGACCCCCCCCCCCCCCGGCTCGCCCAAGGCCGCCTCTGAGTCAATGAGCCGCATTGTGAATGAGCCCGCGGCTGGAGTCTGCTCTCAATGAACCTCGCCGTGAATGAATGGATCAGGATTTGTGAATGAGTTCCGCGAGGTTACTTTATAATTATCCTACACGTGAAGCCCCACGCCCCCCTCGCGAATGAATGGATAGGCACACGTGCGTATGGCTTCCACCTTTAGTACAAAATAAACACGGGACATATCGAGTGCTTTTTTCTGTTCAAATGAGCATTGAGTAGATGCTCATGTGGCCACCGCTTACAGCCCTGGGCTAGTGGTGGAAATTCCACGTTCCTAAGGCCGGGGGCGGAGACTCTAAATAGGAAACGCACTTTTCATCCCCGCAAAGCGATTCTCGTGTTTTAAAATTGGACCCCGGAGGGATTGATGCGCTGAGTCACCTTTTCAAGCCATGAGGATTTGGAACGCGCAACCTCGTGCTTGCGAATCATCCGCTCTGCCGCTGGCTGGGTGACCTCTCATGTTTAAGAAGGCGGAATGGACCTGAACTTATCCAGATTTAGATAGCGCCTTAATGCAATGCGCTTCATGCAACAATTATACAAATAGTATGTAAGAAAATAGTGGTTAAAATAAAGGTGGTGGTGGTGCAGTTATGTTCACAGGAGGGCAGGCGGGAGTGGTTAACGAGTGGTTGGGGTAGTGATAGTGGTTGGGGTAGTGATAGGGGTTGGGGTAGTGATAGGGGTTGGGGTAGCGATAGGGGTTGGGGTAGCGATAGGGTTTGGGGAAGCCATAGGGGTTGGGGTAGTGATAGGGGTTGGGGTAGTGATAGTGGTTGGGGTAGTGATAGGGGTTGGGTAGTGATAGGGATTGGGGTAGTGATAGGGGTTGGGGTAGTGATAGGAGTTGGGGTAGTGATAGGGGTTGGGGTAGTGATAGGGGTTGGGGTAGCGATAGGGGTTGGGGTAGCGATAGGGTTTGGGGAAGCCATAGGGGTTGGGGTAGTGATAGTGGTTGGGGTAGTGATAGTGGTTGGGGTAGTGATAGGGGTTGGGTAGTGATATGGGTTGGGTAGTGATAGGGGTTGGGGTAGTGATAGGGGTTGGGGTAGTGATAGTGGTTGGGGTAGTGATAGGGGTTGGGTAGTGATAGGGGTTGGGTAGTGATAGGGGTTGGGGTAGTGATAGGGGTTGGGGTAGTGATAGGGGTTGGGGTAGTGATAGGGGTTGGGTAGTGATAGGGATTGGGGTAGTGATAGGGGTTGGGGTAGTGATAGGAGTTGGGGTAGTGATAGGGGTTGGGGTAGTGATAGGGGTTGGGGTAGCGATAGGGGTTGGGGTAGCGATAGGGTTTGGGGAAGCCATAGGGGTTGGGGTAGTGATAGTGGTTGGGGTAGTGATAGTGGTTGGGGTAGTGATAGGGGTTGGGTAGTGATATGGGTTGGGTAGTGATAGGGGTTGGGGTAGTGATAGGGGTTGGGGTAGTGATAGTGGTTGGGGTAGTGATAGGGGTTGGGTAGTGATAGGGGTTGGGTAGTGAAAGGGGTTGGGGTAGTGATAGGGGTTGGGGTAGTGATAGGGGTTGGGGTAGTGATAGGGGTTGGAGTAGTGATAGGAGTTGAGGTAGTGATAGGGGTTGGGGTAGTGATAGGGGTTGGGTTAGTGATAGGGGTTGGGGTAGTGATAGGGGTTGGTGTAGTGATATGGGGTGGGGTAGTGATAGTGGTTGGGGTAGTGATAGGGGTTGGGGTAGTGATAGGGGTTGGGGTAGTGATAGGGGTTGGGGTAGTGATAGGGGTTGGGGTAGTGATGGGGGTTGGGGTAGTGATAGGGGTTGGGGTAGTGATAGGGGTAGTGATAGGGGTTGGGGTAGCGATAGGGGTTGGGGTAGTGATGGGGGTTGGGGTAGCGATAGGGGTTGGGTAGTGATAGGGGTTGGGTAGTGATAGTGGTTGGGGTAGTTATAGGGGTTGGGGTAGTGATGGGGGTTGGGGTAGTGATGGGGGTTGGGGTAGTGATAGGGGTTGGGGTAGTGATAGGGGTTGGGGTGGGAATAGGAGTTGGAGTAGTGATAGGGGTTGGGGTAGTGATAGGGGTTGGGGTAGTGATAGGGGTTGGGGTAGTGATAGGGGTTGGGGTAGTGATAGGGGTTGGGGTAGTGATAGGGGTTGGGGTAGTGATAGGGGTAGTGATAGGGGTTGGGGTAGTCCTGGTCGTAGCTGGAGACATTAATGTGATTGTAACAGGACAAATATAAGGTGCAGTACAATCAAATAGTATTGTTATGGATAGGCGTGCCTTGTTACTCGTGGTCGTGCCTTACGCCGATAACACACGCAGAACCCCTACCACTGTAGAACCCCTAACACACACACAGAACCCCTACTATTATAAAACCCCTACCACAAAGACAGATCCCAGACTTCTGTAAAACCCCTACCACCCACACACACACAGATAATTCCCTACCACAAAGATCTACTTTAAAGCCCCTACCACTACAGCACCCCTACTACACACACATCCACATGTCGAGCCCCTTTAAATGCCCATGTGGCGCTGCGCCCCTCCCCCCCGGCCGGGCGGCGAGCCGCGTCACGTGACCGCGAGAATCATTTGGCCGGAGTGGAGGAGAAGGAGGAGAGAGTTCAACATCGCGGCTCCATCACTCCGCGTGGCTCCAGGTTAACGCCGCGCCCCGCTCGTCTCACCCCGGCCCGAGTGTGGAGCCTCCTGCTCCCTCCTCCATCTGCTCCATCTCCCTGCCCGTGTTCCTCCTGCTCCCAACTCATCCTTCTCCCGTGGCTGCTCCGTCTCCCGTTACTCTCCTTGTTCTCCCCCCCCCCCCCCTGTTGCGCCTCCATCTGCTGCTAACTTCACATCCCGCTTCAGCTCTCCTCCGGTCCGTGCTCCGCCTGCTCCCCCCCTGTTGCACCTCCATCTCCTCTTGAGCTCCTTTCTCTGCTCCGCCCGACGCTCCTCCGTCTCCTGCTCACTTCAGCTCCTCGTGCTCTGTTGCTCTTCTGTATCTCAATCTACTCCTACTGCTGGCTGCTGCCACATGCTCCGTTTTCTCGTCATCTCCCCTCTCTGCCCCCCCCCACCCACGGTCTCCCTGTTGCTGAATGCGGCTCCCATCGTCTGCTCCAAGGAGCCGGCGGCGGCTCCCTCTCGGCTCCCTCTCGGCTTCCTCTCGGCTCCCCTAACCTCCCCCTCCGCCCGTGAAGAGATCGCGGCTCGGAGTCGAGACGTGAGACGTGGCTCTGCCCGCCGCGTCCCGGCGATCAGGATGATTGTGATCGTGATAATTACTTAATGATATGATGATTATGATGATGATGATAAAAGTGGTAAGGATGATGGCAAAGTTACGAACGGACGATAGTAATTATGTTATGACAATTGTGAAGTTAATCTTGATGATGGGATAAGTAAAGTGATGCAGTGACGATATGATGATGGCGATCGATGATGAGATTATGCTGGGAGTGTGTTAAAAACTGAGCTCGGTTCACGGCCGGGAGACCTACCACGGTCTAGAGAGACAGAGAGACAGAGGTTCAGAGAGACAGAGGTTCAGAGAGACAGAGGTTCAGAGAGACAGAGGTTCAGAGAGACAGAGGTTCAGAGAGACAGAGGTTCAGAGAGACAGGTTCAGAGAGACAGAGGTTCAGAGAGACAGAGGTTCAGAGAGACAGAGGTTCAGAGAGACAGAGGTTCAGAGAGACAGAGGTTCAGAGAGACAGAGGTTCAGAGACAGAGAGACACAGAGAGACACAGAGAGACACAGAGAGACACAAAGAGACACAAAGAGACACAAAGAGAGACAGAGAGAGACACAGAGAGACAGAGAGACACAGAGAGACAGAGAGACACAGAGAGACACAGACAGACACAGAGAGACACAGACAGAGAGACACAGACACACAGAGAGACACAGACACACAGAGAGACACAGACACACAGAGAGACAGAGAGACAGAGACACAGAGAGACACAGACACAGAGAGACACAGAGACACAGACACAGAGAGACACAGACACAGAGAGACACAGACACAGAGACACAGACACAGAGAGACACAGACATAGACACAGAGACACAGAGAGACACAGACATAGACACAGAGACACAGAGAGACACAGACATAGCCACAGAGACACAGAGAGACAGACACAGAGACACAGACGTTCATAGAGACAGAGGCAAGAAACAAAGATACTGTGAAAGACAGATAGAGGGAGAGACGGACAAAGACCGAGATTCAGACGGACGGAGAGACCGAGAGACAGGGGACCATCCATTTAGTACGTACGCATGGAGGGGGGTTAACCCAAATGCGCACGCTTGTGTATGGGGATCTACTAATGTGCGTACGCATAGGAAACCGGGGGGGGGGGGGGGGGAGGGGGGTGAAACCTCGATAATAATTAGTCTTAATTGGCCTTCAACTGAGTTAGATAGTCCGGCGGTGGGACTATCTGTTTGCTTAAACACGTTAATATTATTAATCCTTGATCGTTTCTGCGTGGATTAAATATCGGCCGTTCTGTAGGAGACACATGGTTGCCAGGCTTAGGACGGAAGCTGTAATATTTACGAAAAATTTGAGCTGAATATAATGTATCTTGTGTAAATTTAACGGCAGTGAATCTGGCACAAAACTATGTCATAAAACACCTCACTTCATGTCACTATAGCACTGTATATAACTGACCTTCAATTTGTTCAAATTCACTGCTCTGATACTTTAGTATCTTATGTTTTCGGTCGCTGGTGTTGAAATAAATTGGAATTCGATAAAATATCTGGAAAATCGCCGATAAATGTCTATTTTGCCATAATGTAGAAGCATACATCTACTTTGTTGCTGCGTATAATTATTTTTTAGATTCACTTGCAATAAAGAAAACGTCAAACTTAAAGCGAATTTGCGAAAAATAAATTATTTCCGCTCGACCTTCTGCGTGAGTGTAAAAATCCACCCGGCATGTGGAGTGACGTCACGCGCGTTACACACAAACATTCTTGGCTCATCTCATTTTCAGTTCATTTCAGTTTCATCTATTAGGTGTAGCCCTGTGAGCCATTCGGCTCTTGAATCGGGTGCAACCGCAACAAACAAAAACGTGAACAAGAAAACAACTTAAAGTGACTATGCGCAACAGAAAAATCCAGGAAAAAACGGCAAAGTCTTCCAGAAAAAGCATCGTATATCAACGCTGTGTGCAAAAATCCCAGTGGGATGCAAGTCAAACAATAACAACCATAAGACAATTTGGATTAAAGATATCAGTCGAACTCTGTATTATAAGAAAAAAATGGCTAAACCAAAACATTTTTGAAATCACCAAAATAAAGCTATACTGTACAAACAATGTAACAGTGATCATAGGAACTGTGATTCAAATTTAACAATAAACGATATACATAACATGTACGACCAAACTTTGCAGCCATAGCTGGTAGCATGAATCTTGTAGTAATTCGGGGGAGGGGTGTAAACAGTCCGCGTGCGTACAGGGAGGGAGGGGGGGGGGTCAAGTTTTGACAGATTTGTGCGTACCTACTAAACGGATGGCCCCTAGATAGAGGCATAGAGATGCAGAGACAGATCAACACAACGACAAAAGAGACACGGAGAGACACCGACATAGCGGAGCTGTACTCGTGCTTTGCTTTGTATCGACTCGAGGCGCGTCTGAGAACAGGCGGCAAGGGTAGACTGGTTATCCGTGATGCCATGGTTATCCGTGACTGCCAAGGTTATCCGTGATGCCCTGGGTTATCCGTGACTGTCAGGGTTATCCGTGATGCCATGGGTTATCCGTGACTGTCAGGGTTATCCGTGACTGTCAGGGTTATCCGTGATGCCGTGGGTTTTCCGTGACTGCCAAGGTTATCCGTGACTGTCAGGGTTATCCGTGATGCCATGGGTTATCCGTGATGCCCTGGATTATCCGTGACTGTCAGGGTTATCCGTGACTGTCAGGGTTATCCGCGATGCCATGGGTTATCCGTGATGCCATGGGTTATCCGTGACTGTCAGGGTTATCCGTGACTGTCAGGGTTATCCGTGATGCCATGGGTTATCCGTGACTGTCAGGGTTATCCGTGACTGTCATGGTTATCAGTGACTCTCATGGTTATCCGTGATGCCATGGGTTATCCGTGACTGCCAAGGTTATCCGTGACTGTCATGGTTATCCGTGATGCCCTGGGTTATCCGTGACTGCCAAGGTTATCCGTGATGCCCTGGGTTATCCATGACTGTCAGGGTTATCCGTAAATGTCAGGGTTACCCGTGACTGTCAGGGTTACCCGTGACTGTCAGGGTTACCCGTGATGCCATGGGTTATCCGTGACTGTCAGGGTTATCCGTGACTGTCAGGGTTATCCGTGATGCCCTGGGTTATCCGTGATGCCCTTGGGTTATCCGTGATGTCCAGGGTTATCCGTGATGTCCAGGGTTACCCGTGACTGTCAGGGTTATCCGCGACCGTCAGAGTTACACATCGCTATCAGAGTTATCCGTGACTACCTACATGGGTTAGTCACCATACTCTCCGGATTCTCAGACGCATCCCTCATCCCCTGTATTTTAAATCGTTCTCTCGTCCGGCAATTAACGGGATTATCTGTTGGTGGTGATGCTGCTGCCACTCCTACGTTGGCAGTGGTGCTCAAACACCAACAACAACCACCTTTAACAATAACCACCTTTGTCGATAACAACACAAAGGAATAGACGACGATGATTAATGATGGTGGTTGATGATAATTGCCAAAGACGGTAAATATGATTCAATGAGGATGGCGATGATGATGACGACGATCGTTGAAAATGAATGCTCATGAGGGTAATGATGATTCAGCGTTCATGATGATGAGCAACGGTAGTTTCCTCTTTATGGTGGTTGATGAATGGTCACGCCGTGAGAAGTGATTCATCTCCATGTTGATGGTGATGGTGGTCGTGGTGAGTTGAGGTCACAAATCGGTCGCTTTCGTAATATTACATGTCGCGATGACGCAGGGGAGATGTGATTTAGAGATGAGGAGCCACAGCTCCTCCTCCCACGCGCCCCCTCTCCTATATAAATCTGCTCGCCATGATTCGGAGAGAGAGAGATATTGTGTGTCCAGGAGCGACTCTTAAGAGTCCCGCAGAGAATCACCGAGAGTCTCTTGGACCCCCCCTCCCCTCCCCCCCCGGGAGATACCCGCAAAGGGACGTGCCCGCATTTACACCAGACTCTCTCCGATCCTTGTCTTAGTGCCGCGGGGAGAAACCGTAAGAGCTGAAGAGTCAACGGAGAGAGAGACCCAGCTCCAGGGAGAGACGGAGAGACCGTGAAGAGAGGAGAGCTCCGGCTGGAGTCGAGAAAGAGAATCCGATAGCTCCAGGGATACACGGGGAGAGTGGAACGCATCACAGGAAGAGTCGGCGAGAGAGGAGGAGAAGAAGCGGGGCGGTTAAAGAGCTCTGGGGAGACTCGGTTGAGAGTTTGGGAGGAATCCGAGGAAGAGGCGGCGAGCGTGGGAGAGCTCCAGGTGGAGTCGGAGTCGAAGGAGAAATTGAGAGCTCCAGCGAGCGAAACGCATCCAGGAAGAGACGGTGAGAGAGAGACGGCGAGAGAGAGACGGCGAGAGAGAGACGGCGAGAGAGAGACGGCGAGAGAGAGACGGCGAGAGAGAGACGGCGAGAGAGAGACGGCGAGAGAGAGACGGTGAGAGAGAGACGGTGAGAGAGAGACGGTGAGAGAGAGACGGTGAGAGAGAGAGAGAGAGTGTTAAAGAGAGCCGGTGAAAGAGTTTTTGGAGAACTTCGCTGGGAGAGTCGCCGAGGAGCTCCGCGCCCGGTCTCCCAGAGTCGCATCCACGCACCTGGTTGCCATGACAACCGGTCCCCTGCTCCTCCTCCTCCTGTTGCTGTCGGCGTGGGGAGGCGGTGGCGCGGGGTCCTGGGGGGACTCGGGGGACCCGGAGTACCCAGGTAACCCTGGGGATCTCTACTCCGACGACAGCGAGGATGGCATCGACTACAGGGACCCCTGCAAGGCTGGTGAGACGAGAGGGGGCATGCGGGAGCGAGAGGGGTCTCTGAGCTACTATTGATCTGGCTCAGTGGTGGTGGTGGGACAATCACAGGGCTGAGGGAGGAGCGGTGGTGCTGTGGTTCACCACGAACGCGGCCACCTGAGTTCGATTCCCTGGCCCGCGGCTAACATCGCGCAAGCCGCACCTCGTGCTGTTAAAAGGCGACCTTTGTATTTCTATTGAGTGTTAGGATGTGTGTTGAGGGGCAGTATTAGGCGCGTGTGTTAGTGGATGAGCAGTGCTAGTGGTGTGCGTGTTGTGTTGCAGTGTGTTTGGGTGTGTGAGTGAATTATGTGTAGGAGTGTTTGTGTATTATGTGTAGGAGTGTGTTTGTGTATTGTGTGTAGGAGTGTGTTTGTGTATTGTGTGTAGGAGTGTGTTTGTGTATTGTGTGTAGGAGTGTTTGTGTATTGTGTGTAGGAGTGTGTTTGTGTATTGTGTGTAGGAGTGTTTGTGTATTATGTGTAGGAGTGTGTTTGTGTATTGTATGTAGGAGTGTGTTTGTGTATTGTGTGTAGGAGTGTTTGTGTATTGTGTGTAGGAGTGTGTTTGTGTATTGTGTGTAGGAGTGTTTGTGTATTATGTGTAGGAGTGTGTTTGTGTATTGTGTGTAGGAGTGTGTTTGTGTATTGTGTGTAGGAGTGTGTTTGTGTATTGTGTGTAGGAGTGTGTTTGTGTATTGTGTGTAGGAGTGTGTTTGTGTATTGTGTGTAGGAGTGTGTTTGTGTATTGTGTGTAGGAGTGTTTGTGTATTATGTGTAGGAGTGTGTTTGTGTATTGTGTGTAGGAGTGTGTTTGTGTATTGTGTGTAGGAGTGTTTGTGTATTGTGTGTAGGAGTGTTTGTGTATTGTGTGTAGGAGTGTTTGTGTATTGTGTGTAGGAGTGTGTTTGTGTATTGTGTGTAGGAGTGTTTGTGTATTGTGTGTAGGAGTGTGTTTGTGTATTGTGTGTAGGAGTGTTTGTGTATTGTGTGTAGGAGTGTGTTTGTGTATTGTGTGTAGGAGTGTGTTTGTGTATTGTGTGTAGGAGTGTGTTTGTGTATTGTGTGTAGGAGTGTGTTTGTGTATTGTGTGTAGGAGTGTGTTTGTGTATTGTGTAGGAGTGTGTTTGTGTATTGTGTAGGAGTGTGTTTGTGTATTGTGTGTAGGAGTGTGTTTGTGTATTGTGTGTAGGAGTGTGTTTGTGTATTGTGTGTAGGTGTGTTTGTGTATTGTGTGTAGGAGTGTGTTTGTGTATTGTGTGTAGGAGTGTGTTTGTGTATTGTGTGTAGGAGTGTGTTTGTGTATTGTGTGTAGGAGTGTGTTTGTGTATTGTGTGTAGGAGTGTTTGTGTATTGTGTGTAGGAGTGTGTTTGTGTATTGTGTGTAGGAGCGTGTTTGTGTATTGTGTGTAGGAGCGCGTTTGTGTATTGTGTGTAGGAGCGCGTTTGTGTATTGTGTGTAGGAGCGCGTTTGTGTATTGTGTGTAGGAGCGCGTTTGTGTATTGTGTGTAGGAGTGTGTTTGTGTATTCTGTGTAGGAGTGTTTGTGTATTGTGTGTCGGAGTGTTTGTGTATTGTGTGTCGGAGTGTTTGTGTATTGTGTGTAGGAGTGTGTTTGTGTATTGTGTGTAGGAGTGTGTTTGTGTATTGTGTGTAGGAGTGCGTTTGTGTATTATGTGTAGGAGTGTGTTTGTGTATTATGTGTAGGAGTGTGTTTGTGTATTGTGTGTAGGAGTGTTTGTGTATTATGTGTAGGAGTGTTTGTGTATTATGTGTAGGAGTGTGTTTGTCTATTTTGTGTTGGAGTGTGTTTGTGTATTGTGTGTAGGAGTGTTTGTGTATTATGTGTAGGAGTGTTTGTGTATTATGTGTAGGAGTGTGTTTGTGTGTAGGAGTGTTTGTGTAGTGTGTAGGAGTGTGTTTGTGTATAGTGTGTAGGAGTGTGTTTGTGTATTGTGTGTAGGAGTGTGTTTGTGTATTGTGTGTAGGAGTTTGTTTGTGTATTGTGTGTAGGAGTTTGTTTGTGTATTGTGTGTAGGAGTTTGTTTGTGTATTGTGTGTAGGAGTGTTTGTGTATTGTGTGTAGGAGTGTGTTTGTGTATTATGTGTAGGAGTGTGTTTGTGTATTATGTGTAGGAGTGTGTTTGTGTATTATGTGTAGGAGTGTGTTTGTGTATTATGTGTAGGAGTGTGTTTGTGTATTATTTGTAGGAGTGTGCTCGTGTATTGTGTGTAGGAGTGTGCTCGTGCATTATTTGTAGGAGTGTGTTTGTGTATTGTGTGTAGGAGTGTGCTCGTGTATTATGTGTAGGAGTGTGTTTGGGTGTGTGAGTGTATTATGTGTCAGTGTATGTGTTGAAGTGTGTTATCATGTCGGCATCGCTCGCTGTGCCGAGTCTCAGGAATGTGGCTCCCCCCCCCCTCTTCCCGCGCTCTCCCCCCACGCTCCCATCTCTCGTTGCCTCCTCCCCGGGGAATTCTCTCCATCTCGCTCTCACAGCTGGCCCCACTCTCTCAGTGCCATAACTCTCCCCCCCTCTCTCCCTCTCACCCACCTCTCTCTCTCTCTCTCTTTTTCTTTTACGATCAGAGGAAACAAGAAGATGCTCCGTGTAGTCGGCACTTTGCTTCGTTCATCATTTCGGTTTTTTGTTTTTTAATGATTTGCTTGATGTAACCCCCCCCCCCCCTTTTAAATGAAAGATTTCACAATCGATTTCACGCTCTGCTCCCCTTACCCCTCTCTCTCTACCCCCTCTCTCTCTCCACTCTAAGATGTAATTGCTGCTTAAGAAGACGCAGGCTACTCCTGCTGAACCTGGGATAAAATTCAGGCTGAGCTTTTAGAATAATTATTTTAATAATATTGTATGCCTCAACGGAGTCTCAAGACTCTTTATATAGGTGGGTCTTGCTTTCACTGGGATGTTTGGCCAATTCCATTCACTTGGAATTGACACAGCGCAGTTGGCGCAAAAGGTCCAAAACGCCAAGCGGGCAGCTACAAACAGCACCCGCTCGTAATAACAAATAGCAAGAGATAGGCGGAGTGTAACGCGTCTCTTGAGTTGAGGTTATTGTTGACATAAGAGCTCGGTGGGATAGGAGACGGTGGTGAGAATGATGCGGAGAGAGAAGTGAGAGGTGACCTGCGGTGTGGTCGGTGGTGGGAGTTGGATACGGCGTACAGAGTGAGATGACGCGGTCACTGCCTGCTTGATGCATCGCTTACATTCTGTGTCGCCCTCTTGTGAGCTATGTCAAGCGCCTCGCGTGAAGGCGGCCGCCTCTCTGTGTGGACAGAAATGACATCGCGTCCTCGCCGTGCGATGATGAATCGGCGAGTACGTGTCACAGTGGCAGCGCCGGGTTTGGCACCGGTGGGTTCGGAGTTGGGTTACCCGTGGGTCAGAGTTGGGGACGCGTGGGTCAGAATTGTGGACCCGTGGGTCGGAGTTGGGTTACCCGTGGGTCGGAGTTGGGGACCGGTGGGTCGGAGTTGGGTCCCCGTGGGTCGGAGTTGGGGACCGGTGTCTCGGAGTTGGGTACCGGTGGGTCGGAGTTGGGTCCCCGTGGGTCGGAGTTGGGTCCCCGTGGGTCGGAGTTGGGTTACCCGTGAGTCGGAGTTGGGTTACCCGTGGGTCGGAGTTGGGTACCGGTGGGTCAGAGTTTGGTCTCGGTGGGTCGGAGTTGAGTTACCCGTGGGTCGGAGTTGGGGACCGGTGGGTCGGAGTTGGGTACCGGTGGGTCGGAGTTGGGTCCCCGTGCGTTGGAGTTGGGGACCGGTGGGTCGGAGTTGGGTCCCCATGGGTCGGAGTTGGGTTACCCGTGGGTCGGAGTTGGGTTACCTGTGGGTCGGAGTTGGGGACCGGTGGGTCGGAGTTGGGTACCGGTGGGTCGGAGTTGGGTACCGGTGGGTCGGAGTTGGGTCCCCGTGGGTCAGAGTTGGGTTACCCGTGGGTCGGAGTTGGGGACCAGTGGGTCGGAGTTGGGGACCGGTGTCTCGGAGTTGGGTTCCGGTGGGTCGGAGTTGGGTCCCCGTGGGTCGGAGTTGGGTTACCCGTGGGTCGGAGTTGGGTTACCCGTGAGTCGGAGTTGGGTTACCCGTGGGTCGGAGTTGGGTACCGGTGGGTCAGAGTTTGGTCTCGGTGGGTCGGAGTTGGGTTACCCGTGGGTCGGAGTTGGGTACCGGTGGGTCGGAGTTGGGTCCCCGTGGGTCGGGGTCAGGTTGGTCTAGAGACGCTATCGGGCTTTGAAGCTCGACCAGCCCAAGACCGGTTCAGACGTTCGCCGCTGACGTTGGCCCTGAGCCGGAAGCGAACTGGGGTCGTGGGGTTCGCAGCGCAGCGCGCTCACCCAAGCAGCCACCCGAAGTCGGCCTGCCCTAGGCCCTCTCAGCTTTAAATAATTACCTGTTGCGGTGTGTACAAATCGCCACTGGGGAGACGAGGCAGCCGGGCGTGGTGCTGGCCACCTACCCCCTCGTGTGCTGTGCTGGCCTTCATAGGTGCTTGCTAACAGCACTTGCCTCGACAGTCCGTTACACGCTATACGAGAGGACGGGGTCTTTGTCTTTGTGTTCGTGTGTGAGACGGAGTGCGTGTGTGTGTGTGAGAGATACGCGATGCGTCACATTCGGCCCTTGGTGCGCACCACACTAGAGGGGGTGACACGCGACGGGGGGCAACGGGGGGCGAAATGCCTTCGTCTGACCACGTGTGCATTGTCTCCGAGGAGTGTGATTCCGTGCGTCACTCGTTACACGCAAAGTCCTCGCCACAAAACGGACCACAACACCTCGCTGATCTCGTCAAGGAACTTAAACCCTCACGCGAACTCCGTTGGTCATCCTCGCAGCAGCGGCTGCTGGCTGGCCATCGAACAAAGGCGGTCACCGCATCACGCCCTTTCCGATGCGCTTCTGCGGCCATCTGGAACGCTCTTTTGGTCATAGGAAGCCACTGGAGCTGTTGCACTTTCAAGC